CCAACTCACACAGGCACTGTCTTCAGAGACCCTGGGAACAAAACCAGGTTAAATCCATTTCAACACACCCATTCGTGCCACGTATCAAGCATGTGGGCCGTCGATGAAACAGTGACTTTCTGGGTAAAGGGATGGACAAAGGTCAAAACTCCTCCCTCTAATGCTAGTAGGGTGGAATTGAACTGTGTGTTTCTGGGAAATGCTGTGCCAAGGTGGGAGTCTGTGAGGACAGGAGTAGTCACAGTTGACAGAAGAGGTTCAAAGTCTAGCTCTTTTCAATAGCTGGCTGTTCTTAAGTAAGTAACTGCCAACCCCACCCCCTGCCCCAAGTCTCCATTTCCCTACAGAGTAGCATAGTTGCCTGACTGAGTTGTTCTGAAATGATGTGAGCTGGTTACTTATCATAGTATTAGCACTTCTGATTTTCATCCTTTACTGTTATTTATACAGTGTGGAAGACTGTAGTATAAACATTCACATATTATATATATATATATATATATATATATATATATATATATATATATATATATATATATATATATATATATATATATAGTGTGTGTGTGTTTATGTGTGTGTGTCTCCTACCAGTTACAGACTTATTTTAATGAGTGAGCTCCCAGAAAAGTTAAGTGATGGCATCTTAGTGGGAATCACTTCAATCAGCTAATCAGGTTGTTTTCTTCTTGGCACTCGGCTGAGATCAAGGAGAGAATGGGATTTCTGATGGCAGGTTCTGGAAGAGGAAAACATGGAGGAGAACGGGAGTCTTGTGAGTTCAACAGGAAGGCACTGAGTCCTCCTTCCACTCAGCGCCCTACACAGCAGCCCGCGGTGTCTTTTTCCATTGCTGTTTGGCAGTCCTGGGATGGAGGCCGTCAGAACGGCGCCTGTTCCCCAGACAAAATCCTTCCCTGGTTTTCCTTTTCCTTTGTGTCCACTCGCTTCTTTCCTTTCCACAAGCTGCTCCCCCCTGTGTGGTTCTCTATAGCAGCACCGCCTGTCTGCATCCAGTGTCCCATCTGCCTCTGCCAACCTTGACACCTCCGACAGCAGGCTTGACCTCTCTTGGATTGCTTCCTGTGTAATGAAGTTAGTAATAGTCCCCTCAGTGCAAAAACAACAACTCAACTTTAAAGAAAATAATAAAAGTCCTTTATTCTGAGACAAATGTGAGTGACCTTGTCCTCACCATGTGGATTTGGTTTGTGCCACAGAAAGAGTAGCGTGAACTTTCCTAGCCAGAGAAGAGACAAAGTCAAAAACAAAACAAGGGAGAAAGAACTTTGATCAGGATGCGAGCTAGGTGGGCTATGGAGGGAGAAGATCTCTTCCATAGTTTCAGATGTGAAGTTATAACATTTTAAGCTCTAGGGTTGTGGACGCTGGATGTCTGCTGATGTGAATACATTCCAAGAGGTTTATCCAATAGTCTTGAGAACTTTCAGCCAGAGACAATGGTTAAAAGTAAAAGCAAGGGTATGTGTGTGGAGAGAGAGAGAGAGAGAGAGAGAGAGAGAGAGAGAGAGAGAGAGAGAGAGAGAGAGAGAGGAGAGAGGAGAGAGAGAGAGAGAGAGAGATACTCAGCAGTTAAGAGCACTGACTGTTCTTCCAAAGGATCCGGGTTCAGTTCTCAGCACCCACATGGTGGCTCACAACCATCTGTAACTACAGTTCCAGAGGATCCAGTGCCCTCTTCTGGCTTCCATAGGTATCACAAATACGTAGTGTACATATATACAAGCAGGCAAACACTCAGATACATAAAATTATTATTATTATTATTATTATTATTATTATTATTTTGGTTTTTCAAGAAGGGTTTCTCTGTGTAGCTTTGCACCTTTCCTGGAACTTGCTCTGTAGCCCAGGCTGGCCTCGAACTCACAGAGATCTGCCTGCCCCTGCCTCTTGAGTGCTGGGATTAAAGGCATGCTCCACCACCGCCCGGCTTTTTAAAAAAATAAGGTAAATGGGTATTTTTTCTACAGGCACTAAGCCTAGATACCTCTCCACCTGTGACCTTCCATCCCTCAATAATCCCAATCTTCTACTCCACCAAGGTCAAACAACAGAATAGAGGCCAAAGCTCGTGGGACCTTTAAGACAGATCAGGCTTCTGCAGACACCTCCAGCCTCACAGGGGATTATAAGCAGCACGAAGAGGCCATGCATGTCTGCAAAGTGCTTTGCAGGACACCAGGCTCTTAGCAAGCATTCAATAAATGGCTTTTAGGATGTCAGAGACCACTCAATCTTGACAGAGGTATTTGCATGCCTAACCCCTGCTCTAGGAGCCCCAGAGCAGCAGTGAGCAAGTAAATGTCTCTGCCATTATCGAGTTGGTTAAGTAACAGTCATTTAATCTCCTATCAAATTACACACTCCTCACAAAAGCTGTAATCGTACAATACAATAGTACAAAACAAAGCCAGTTTTCGAAATCTGAAGTTTCAAAGGTGTAGAAATTCCTAGAATGGGTTATATGGGTAGATGAGACAAGTGGGAGAAATTTTCAATAAATGTTAGTTTGTATTAACTGTATTTGTATTAACCAGGCACTCATACTGATCTCTAGTTAGTATGTATGGTGAGATGGCTTATTAGGTAAAGGTGTTTGCCCCATAAGCCTGGCAACCCAAGTTCAATCCCTGGAACTCATGTAAAAAATGAAGGGAGAGAAATTGACTCTGTTAAGTTTACTTCTGACTTCTACACTCATGCCATGGCACTCATGCCCATATACATCATGCACACATACTCACACATATGATAGTAATAATGATGATGATGATAATAATAATAATAATAATAATAATAAAGAATGCCTTCTTTCCCCAGTTATCACATAAGTCTTCAAGGATTCACCCTGTAATACATTTTGCAAAACCTGTTAACATACATACTGTGCCTTCCTTCTGTGGACTATTACAGCTTCACAAGTGCTTGTTTGGTAAATACATGAATGAAAGAATGAATGAATGAGCCACCAGGAAGCACTCAGGTCGACTGCAGTCCTAACTATTCTCTCTTCTTTAAACCTCCCACAACACACAGACACACATACTCACTCACACAGTTATATGAACAAAAAAATAGGTTTTCCCCAAATCAAAACTCTGGTTGCATGGTAGATATATGTTGAATGAAATTAGGAACACAAAATTCAGTTGTGGGGGGGGAGCTTTCATACCATGCAATTGTTCTGTGTAATCAAAATCATCTATCACTGCTGTCTCTCTAGAGTCACTGTGTGATGACTGTGTAGATCAGAATCCATAAACCCCCCTTCTAAGAAGGTGTCCATTCTCAGCATCCCTATAACCTGATGTTGGGCCTTTATCTATACAGAGCTGAGTGGTCTAACTAAAAGAAAGTAAATCCAGAACCAAGTGAACAAATATGATTACTTCACTTGCTTTAGCTTTTCATGCTTGCTTTTTTTTTTTTTTTTTGGTTTTTTGAGACAGGGTTTCTCTGTGTAGCTTTGCGCCTTTCCTGGAACTCGCTTTGTAGACCAGGCTGGCCTCGAACTCACAGAGATTCACCTGGCTCTGCCTCCCAAGTGCTGGGATTAAAGGCGTGCGCCACCACCGCCCGGCTTCATGCTTGCTTTTAAACAAAGCATCTTTGGTCAAAATAACCTGAAGATGATCAAATATAGAGATTAAATGGGAGGCTGAGAGGGAAATGAACTCCAGGAGAAGTTACTGGAGAGGAAGGATGGACCCTTCAGGTCTTACTTTACTGTCATTGACACAGGAAGTCTCCAAAGGGTCTCAGATGAGGACCAGACAGAACAGTACCTCCTTTACTCACATTGCCCAACATCTGCTGGGTCTATCTGTTTCCCTTCCTTCTCTTAGATAGACACCAAGCCTGCTCCAAAGAGACACTAAAACCACATCAACAGCCAGTGACACCAACTCTCATTGCGAGCAATGATCCCCCAGAATGGCAGCCCACATGCCTCAGAGCCTAGAAGTGGCAGTGTATGGACTTTCAAAAAGTAGCATTGTCCGTGATACAGCTTGCTTATTTAACTAGGTTATAGAAACCTGCAAAATTAAAACAGCAATATGCTCCTGTATAAATTGATTCACCTAAATCCCCGGTGCTTTCTGTGTTCCTCACAGGAAGCTATGAAGGTTGATTTCTTGTGCACAGGCAGCAGGTCACAGATAGCCTCATCTAGCTGAGGGCCATGCCTGCTTTCCTCTGACCCTCTGGGCCCAGCCTCCTCCCACCTCTTAGATGTTTGGGACACAGGGTTGGGGGTCAAAGGCAGTCACACTAACTAGTCTTGTTTTCATAGATGTCTTATGATGTTTCCAAGCTTTACAACCTGAAGCCACAGAGATTTTTGCTTTGGAGTCATGTTTTATGTAAAATGTGTTCTTAGCTTATTTCCTGAGCACATGGTGAGCTCTCTACTGGGCAGAGGGCTTCAGAGAGGCAGTTTTGGCACAAGGCACACATTGGGCAGCTACCCAAACTCTTTTACTAACAGCTGTGCATCTATGGGCTAAGATGTATCTATGCACATACCACTTAACTACAAGGAGCACCCCTGAGATTGAACCTCAAGTTTGATTGCCAAACCTTGGTACAACTGGGGTGTGCTTATTTTAAGACGAATGTCCACGAGCTCAGATCCCGGGACTCTGAGTCACTAGATCTATGGGGTATTCAGAAATTTACGTGTTTAATGAATATCCCACTGTGAACCATTCTGAGAATCCCTTCACTAATTAATCTTGAAGATCTCTCCTAGCACTAGCACTCGACTATTCTGTCCCTTCCTTAGCAATCAATCCCAGACATCCTGGCACACCCTCTGTGCCTGTCAGCCCTCTGGTACTGATGGCACCCACCACGGGGAGCCAGGAAGGTGCATAGGCATCCGTGAGGAGCAGCTTAGGGGAGGCAAGGGAGCTGACTGGGTTATTGCTCCTTCCTGGGAAAACACTAACACCCTTCTTGTCTCCAATGCCCAGGTGACAGGTGGAGTCTGGAATTTCAGCCGCATTTGCTGTGATGTTTTTGTCACCCTGGATGTCATGATGTGTACAGCCAGCATCCTGAACCTCTGTGCCATCAGCATAGACAGGTAGGGCTGGGAGTCCCCTTCCAGGCTTAGAAGTCAGATGGCCCTAAAGGGGTACAGAAGACACTCACTTGAGATATTGGGGTCACTTCCAAGGGAACTCACCACTGCCATATTTTCTTTTATTGTCTTTTCTTTTAAAATATGGTTTGCACATGAGGAAAAAAAAAACTTGTGACAGGAAATAATTGCCCTATATGGTTCATTAGACTTTTCTCTCTTTCAGCCAATCTACTCTTGCCTTCCATGATCTTGGGTTTGCTTTCCCATTATCCTTATGGGCTTTTGTGATTCCTAACTGGAAGGAAAGGGGAGAGAATGGAAAAAGACACACAGTAGGTTGATGAGTTGTAAGAAATCCTATAGTTGGTTTTATTGCTGATGAAGGCTGAGGAGGTCTCACAGAGAGACAGAACAGATTGAGATCTCTAACCAATGTTTCCACGTTCTTGTTACCTTCAGAGAAAGAATTCAGAAGAAACGAAGGAATTGGAAGGAAGTTTTATTTCAGGGCAAAAGCAGACAATCAGGATGGAGTGTTGCACCTACTACATTGTATTATTAATATACAATAATGGTGTCAGGGGAGGTGTGGGCTTCTCAAGAGAATCATGCTGCCTGGGGTCTAGGATAGCATCTTATGGGAAAACTCAAAACGGGGGCAGGGGGATATTATGGAGTCAAAGTTGGCAAACAGGGTTTGTTCCAAATTGTTTGGTTCCATTTTCTGTTCTTATGTGGGCTTTGGGATCTGTTGTGGTATCAGATGCATGATGGGAACTGGAGACTTTGCAGGGTTAATGATAGGGCGATATCGTCATAACAAAGCAAAGTTAAGCCGTCTCAGTTGGCCATGTTGGTCTCAGACAGTTATGAAGTGTCTTGTTCTACACTGTTTGCAGGCTCCTGTATTGTCCTGCATCAACCTCCAGCTGCTAAGCATTTGGCCTCTTCCTTGGTTTTCACTGTTATCCTCGCCTACCTCACTCTGTTTGTTTGCTTGGTTGGTTGGTTGGTTGGTTGGTTGGTTGGTTGGTTGGTTGGTTGGTTTTGATAAGGAGAGGGAAGGGAGGAAGGGAGAGGGTAAGGGAGACAAGCATAGATGTATTTCCCAGGAGGGAGAGAAGAAGGATGAAGAAGAAAAGCAATTTAAGAAAGCATGTGATCTGCACATGTCCCTTACAGAGTCTTTAAGAAGTAAGTAGGGACTAGAGAGATGCTCAGTTGGTAAGAGCACTGCCTGCCCTTTCAGAGGGTGGGAGTTCAGTTCCCAGCACCTACACTGGGTAGATCACACACTCTGTAATTCCAGGTTCAGGGAAATCTGATGCCCTCTTCTGGTTCACACACACACACACACACAAACACACATACACACAAATCTTTGTTAAAAGGATAAGAAAGTAAATTATATTTTTCTAAATTTGCTTTTTGGCTATTGGAATGGATTTCTGCAATTCTGGCCTTACTCTGTATGTGTTCCACCCAGGCCACACGCCCTGTTCTGGGCCCCTCTGTTCCTTAGGCCTCTCTCTTGTCCTCTTCTTACTCTCTCTTCCCCACCAGAATGTTAGGCTTGAGACAAGACATCCTGAGCTGAAGGTGGTCCCTGCAGGTGTCCCAGCAGGCAGGGACATGAACCACAACGAGGCGAAAAGGAAAACTCAGTTCAGTTTGACTTCATCAAACTTTAGAGAGTCTGATGCCAGACAGTTTATTGCCAGCATATTTAAACACAATAGAATTTGGGGGAAAAGTTTCCTGATGTAACACAATCCCCAGTGTACAAGGATGCATAATTACATCAAAACTCAACTCAGGGCATGTGCCATTTCTTCCAAGACAGGTCCTGGAGGTAGGCTATCTGCACTAGATTAAGGGCCTATGGAAGGGTCTGGCCTGGTCTCTGTCATACAGATAGCATAGAGGTCATTTGGGCTATTAGCCACCTCTGGTCCCGGTTGTGGGAGCTTAGGGAAGTCCCTGGCTATATAGGTAACCCAAGGGTCATTCAGACTGCTGTTTACTGAGAATTTACCGTGTTGAGCTAAGCTTGGTTATGCATTAATTCATTTCATCTTAACAACTCCAAGGAGCTATTATTACCTTCACTTCCTCATACCTAGATAACCTGCTAGAGTCTTACAGCTAGAATGAGGCTGTGATTTACGTCTACATGACTCCAAATGAACCGCCTTAAGCTTAGTTGTGAACCTCACCAGGTCTCCAGCTGCACCCCCTCTTTCCTCCCTTAATTCTCTTTTTTTCTTTCTTTCTTTCTTTTTTTTTTTTTTTTTTTTTTTTTGGTTTTTTGAGACAGAGTTTCTCTGTGTAACAGCCCTGGATCTCACTCTGTAGACCAGGCTGGTCCCGAACTCACAGCAATCTGCCTGCCTCTGCCTCCTGAGTGCTGGGATTAAAGGCATGCGCCGCCGCCGCCGCCGCCGCCGCTACCACCACCACCCAGCTCCTCCCTTAATTCTAAACAGCAAAGCCTCTTCACTAATAATCTCTCTCTGGTGCCATCTCAATTCTTAAATCCTGGATTTTCTTAGACGTGTGTCTTCTACCTACCACCTTCAACCAATATACACTTACCAACTCGATTTTCAAGATTTTTTTTTCCAATTTGCCTCCATTCTTTCTTTCTTGTTGCCCTTGCTTACTCGAGGTTCCCATGACCTCTCACTCATAATTCACAACTATCTGCCTGGCCCTTCAAACCCTCTGAAGAACTCCCCAGAAGTATAGCTCCAATTTCACCACCCAACTCAATACCACCTGCCGGTGTCTCCTTGGTCTATACAAGGATTAACTAAGGCCACACTCACTCTCAAATAATCTGCAATTCACTTTTTTGTTTTCTTATTTTTATTTATTTATTTATCTATTTTTATGTGATTGTGGCTTTGCCTGCATGGGTATCTGTGTGCCATCTTCATGCAGTGCCCCAGAAGGCCAGAAGAGGGCACCAAAACCCCTGGGACTGGGGTACAAATGGCTGTGAGCCACCATGTGGGAGCCGAGAATTGAACACTGGCTCTCTGGAAGAATAGCCAGCGCTCTTAACCACTGAATCATCTCTCCAGTCCTTTTTTTTCTTTTCTTTCTTTTTTTTTAAACTAATTCTTGTTTATTCTCAGAAATGTTCACACATGTATAAAACATATCCCTGACTCCCGCCTCCAATTCCCCCAGGATATGCCTCTCACATCTTCCCAACTTCATGTCATCCTTTGACAATTAATTATTTTAACTCACTGGGTCCAGTCAGTGCTACCCATATGCCCGTGGACACGAGGTAATCCACTGGGTTGTGGAGAACTCACCAGTGGTCACGTTCCTAAAGCCAAATTACTTCCCCTCCCTCAACTGCCAGTAAGAGTGGGGGCTCAGAAGGCCCTTCTCCCTCCACGCTGGAATTTTTAACTGACCTGTGTTATAAATTGCCGTGATCCTAGAGTGGTTAGTACTCTGCATTGTGGCCACAGCAACCTCAGTTGGAATCCGAGTCACGACACCAATGTCATAATTTAAAAACGGAGGGCTGGGGCAGACAGACACACCATGCAACAGGGCTCACCTGGAGGTTTATTGGAAGAGTGGGGGAGAAGACAGGGAGGAAGAAAGGGGGTGCAGAGTGGCCTTTGGAGATAAGAGGTAGTGGAAGAGGGAAAGAGGGTGGGAAAGAGAGAGAGAAAGCCGTCAGGGGCTGAAGAGAGGGAAGGTGGGCAGCCCGCCTTATATGAGGGGACATAGCACATGCGCACAGAGACCATGTAGCAATGAGCGCATGACATCGGCAGGACCCTGAGCGGACCAAAGTACAGCCTGCGAACTGGCCAGCGCATGTGCCACAGGGGTGACGCAGCCTGCCAGGTCCCCAAGGACAGGCAAGTGTAATGCCTGAATGTCAACAACTTGATCATATGCAAATCTTGTGGGGGTAAATGATACTCCTTTGAGTTCCTGTGTGCAGCAGCTACACCAGGTCCAGGGGAAAGCCTTTCCCAGCACGTCTCAAGTCCTCCAGCTCTTACATTCTTTCTGCCTGCTCCTCTCCAATGTTCTCTGAGCCTTGGGGTAGGGAAGGGGGTTACTATAGACGTCCCCTCTACAGCTGCACACTCATAGTCGTTTATTACCAGCACTTTACACAGGAATGGGTCTCTGCATTAACCACTACTTCTCTGACCAAGGTTGGAAGCAGCACCAATCTATGGAAACAAACATACATCTTTAGAAGGTAGTTTGACAACATGACCATTTAGAAGAACAACACTAAGGCAGGCTTAGTGGTACACGCCTTTAATCCCAGCACTTGGGAGGCAGAGGCCAGCCTGGCCCTCATAGTGAAGACGCCTGTCGGTGGGAGGAACCCTGGCTACTTGAAACCAGGAACCATTGCGTTCAGCTTAGCATTCTTGATTCAAGCTCTGTAAGAGGCATGGCAGGGAAAAACAGAGGTCATGGTACCTAGGCCCAATATAAATGTTCGGGCTAGGCTGGTAAAGACAATAGTAAGGCAAACCCACTATTTGTATCAATATTTGTATCAATAGTCTCTACAACATGAACTGAATGTCCAGAAATTAGGCAGCAGACTTGGATGGTAGAGCTAAAAATATTATAAAACTCATACCACTTTATTTTTGAACAGTTCTATGGAAAAAGAATCCACATAGTGTACAATTAATCCACTTAAAGTATACCAAAAAGTGTTAAATTGTATACAAATCGTAGGTTTGTCTTACTAAGCCGAACTCAAAGGTCCCTGTCTTGGGGTAGTCAGTGTTCTGCCCACAAATGGGCATCTTCATGGACATGAGAGGGTGGGAGAGGGTTTTAGCTTCAGAGTAAGACAAGACAGAAAGAAAGACAGGAAATTAGGTCCCCCTCATTCTTGAATCTGATTGAAGTCTCAGCAGCTCTGAGTCAAGAATTTTGGCACAACTGTGCCATGAAGATTGCTTAATCAGGGTTTCTATCATCATCATAAAACG